GAGAGACAACTAAGAGGTTCCAAAGGGTAGGGCGGGCTCTTAAGCCTCGGCAGGCAGCCGTTCTAGGTGAAGGTAACACTGATTCCAAATCCCCCTGGCGGTAGGGCTAAAACGCAAGTGAAGGACATCACTCAAAAAACCCAATATGGAAAGTCGTACTGGAAATGTTGTTACCACCCCAGGGGCCTCGGAACCCCAGGGGTCGGCAGTGGTGAGTGGGTCCGGTGTTTACACCGGCTCCCAAGTAGCGGGCTCACCAAGGTCGTCATCCGACAACCGTGAGGGCACAGGGGTGGCCAGCCAGGCCTCCGGCGCTCTACCTAATACTAGTGCTGTTGGTAGCCTTGCAGACGCAAGACCGGCTACAAAGTCCATGACTCGTGCGCAAGCGGAAGCGAAGTATACCAAACTTCTGGAAGACACGCTGAGGCAATTGGAGGCATTAGAGGCATCAGTACGTGCTGCGACAAACACGAAAATTGACATCAAAACTGGCACCAAGGCTCTTGGCACAAGCTTCAGAGAGTTCCTAAGCACCGCAAGGATAATCGGCATGACACGATCCCCCGACGCCACTGAACAACGCGTGCGGTGCCTGCAGCAGCAACAACAACAACAACACGCCCAAACAATGAAACTGATTAATGAAGTACGCGAAGAGCAACTTCAGCACCAAATGCTCATGCAGCAAAAAATTGACTCACTGTCACAAGGCCGACAAGCCGAATGCTTAGGATGCAATATATCCTTGGCACAGGACAAGATGAACAGCCAAGATGAAAGGTTTGCCAGTCAGGATAGGAAGCTGAACCAAATAATCTCTGAACTGGATCAAATTGCGCGACCGCCGGCGGACACTCTACCAGAACAGCAGCAGCATCGACTGCACGAGAAACAGCAACAGCATTTAAACACGAACAACCAGGAACAAGAGGTGCAAAACTCCGGCCGCAAAACCAAGAGGCGGGCGAAAGCGGAGGCGGGTGAGTTCCCAAGCTTACCATTACCTAGTAATAAGCCATACCCGAAAGCCGCCCCCTCACCAACTACCGATTCTCCCCCTCGGCCGTCAAAAGACCCCTCAAGCTCCGACGACTTCGTCGAGGTCAGGAGTAAGAGGAATTCGAAAAAGGCTACTCCAAAACCCCCTGTCCCTCCCACGAAAATGCCAAGAGTGCCAAATCACCAGGCAATTGTTGTAAGCGGGGGCATACAGAAAAATGTCTCCTACTCGGACCTGGTCCGTCGCATCAAGTGCGCTGTAGGCCCAAATGTCACGCCACCCGATTTGCTCACAAGGCAGGCTAAATCGGGGAACGTCATCCTCACCACTAAGGATAAGGAGCAGGCAGACCTATTGGCAGAAGTCATCCGTGACAAACTCGGGGAGAGCGTGAAGGTCAGAAGACCAACACACTCCGTTCTCATCAGGTTCTCTGGCATCGAGGACTCCGTAGAGGACCCGGAGTTCCGGGAAGTGATAAAGACAACGACCGGTGTATGCCTCCCGCACGAGGTCAAGTTTAGCGGCTCATCCAACGGCCGCCGATCTACGATCGTGAGGGTTGGCTTGAACGAAGGCCGTAAACTAGTCGAACGCGGCAAGCTAAAGGTAGGCTGGAGTACCTGTCGCATCAAGGTGCACTCACCTGCAGTGGCTCCCTGCACAAAATATCGCAAACCAGGCCACATCTCCAGTGCCTGCACTAGCTCTCTGGAGCTACGGAAATGTTTCAGGTGCAGAGCAGTTGGCCACCTGGTAGCAGCCTGCAACCTACCATCGGAGCAGCCAGGCGTGGCTCCATCTAACGGTGTTTCCGAAGCGCTCGCGCCCACTCCGCCCCAACATTCATCATGCCAGTAATCCTGCAAGTAAACGTCGGTGTAGGTAGGGCCGCGCAAGACCTCGCCCTAGCCTCGGCCTCGAAGTGGGGTGCCGACATCCTCATCATCAGCGAGCAGAATCGCAACCGCCCCGAGGCGGATGGATGGTTCTCCGACTCGTCGGGCCGTTCGGCCGTCGTCATTGTGGGTAACCTTCCAATCATCGGAGCAGGGCCCTCGCAACAAGGCTTCCGATGGGTGGACCTCCAAGGCCTTCGCGTGTACAGTTGTTACTGGACACCGAACTGCAGGATTTCGGAGTTTCAGGACTTCCTACGCCGACTGGAGTGCAGCATCAGAACCTCCACCACCCCGTTTGTAGTCGCGGGCGACTTTAATGCCAAATCCAGGGCCTGGGGAAGCCCACGCGATGACCCCCGGGGCACGCTACTTGCGGACCTGGTAGCCGCTCTAGACGCAGTTGTCTGCAACGATGGCCAGTCTCCGACCTTTGTGCCCGGCCAGTCGACCTCGCACATCGACATCACCTTCGCCTCTGCCGGGATCAGTGGCTCAGTCAACAACTGGATGGTGCGCGACGAAGAGTCGCTGAGCCTTCACAGGTACATATCGTATAGCGTCGGCACACGGGCAAACGCAACGCCCATGCAAAGTCGCGGATGGTCGTACAACAAGAGCAGGGCAAACCAGTTGGACGCGGCGCTCAAACAACAATCGGACGACCCTCTACTCGAAGCCGATACAACCAATGCCGGGGCTGACAGACTGGTCGAGTGGATGTCCCAAGCCGCTGACAGCTGTCTACCGAAGCGACGCCAGGCGAACGACCGAACAGCAGTACCATGGTGGAACGATCAGATCGGGACGCTTAGGAAGGAATGTCTGAGAGCCAGAAGGATTTTCTAAAGACAGAGATCGAGATTCGGTGCTGACCGTAGTAATACCCATGAAGAGATCTGGAAAGATAAGCGCAAACAACTGTCAATAGCGATCAAAGAGGCAAAGGAAAGGTGCTGGGCCGATCTCATTGCAACGGTGGACAAAGATCCGTGGGGGAAACCCTACAAGATCGTAATGAAGAGAATGGCAAAACGCAGACCTATTCCGGGGATCCAGCTGCCGGGCCGGATGGACATCATAGCGAACGCCCTTTTTCCGTCCGCGCCGCGCCCAATCCGCTCTGTCTCACTCAGTACCAGCGGGGTTCCACATACCCCCTTCTCGATGGCCGAGCTGTCCACGGCAGCAAACTCCATGCCAAACGGCAAGGCGCCGGGGCCGGATGGGGTAAGCAACGAGATAATCAAGGTGGCAGTCGCCGTCGCCCCCTCACGATTCCTATCCATGTACAACAAATGTCTGGTGTCCGGCACGTTTCCAGATAGTTGGAAACTAGGAAAACTGGTTTTACTCCAGAAACCGGGGAAACCGCTGGACAACCCCTCTGCGTACCGACCCATCTGTCTCCTAGACGGGTGCGGGAAAGTACTCGAGAAGATGCTGGCGAAGAAGCTCCGCGATCATCTCGACGCCAACGAAGGCCTGGCCCAAAACCAATACGGTTTCAGGAGAGGCAAGTCCACTCTCGACGCCTTGGAGCGGCTGAAGGCAGTAGTCGCCGCAGCTACTACCGGACACCCTAATCACCATAAGCTCGTGGGTATGCTTACTTTGGACGTAAGTAATGCGTTTAATTCGGCACCCTGGGACCACATTCTGAGGGCAGCCAGAGCACGGAACGTGCCCGACAACCTCATAAGAATGCTCGAAGCATATCTGTCAGGAAGGCAGATTGAGCTCCCAGACGTAGGCGGCGACGTGGGGCGCAGGATAATAACAAATTGCGGGGTTCCACAGGGCTCGGTCCTAGGACCGGACCTGTGGAATCTACTATACGACGACCTGGTAAGAACCGTGCTCCCAGATGGGGTCGAGCTGATTGCATTCGCCGACGACGTGGCGGTAGTCTCGACGGCATCGGTCAATTTCCTCCTCGAGGAGCGGCTTGAGTCTGCTTACAACCAAATCAGCCGCTGGATGATCGACCACGGCCTTTCTCTCGCAGCCGAGAAGACAGAGGCAATCGTTCTAACAAAACGAAGAGTTCGGAACCAGATAGCCGTCAACTGCGATGGCTATCGCATTGCGTCCACGGCCTCGATCAGGTACCTCGGAGTGCAAATCGACCAGAAGTTAGGCTTCACGGATCATGCCGAAATTGTGGCAAAAAGGGCGGCCTCAGCTTCCAGAAGTCTTGGCTATCTCATGCCCAACTTAAGAGGACCAAGGCAAAAATGCCGCAAACTATTAGCATCAGTAGTAACTTCCAGGTTATTGTACGCAGCTCCGATCTGGTACGAGAACATGCTAGGGAAGGGGTGGACAAAACTGGCAGCCGTCCATCGGCAATCCCAACTGCGGGCGGCGTGCTGTTACAGCACGGTCTCGCACGAGGCTGCGGCCGTGGTGTCCGGCATTCCTCCGATCCGCCTCCTGGCCAAGGAGCGGTCGGACGTCTTCAAGGGCAAGGGGAAGGCCGAGGCAAGATTGGAGCTAATCAACAACTGGCAGACAGACTGGGAGGCGAGCCCGAAGGGAAGGTGGACTCACCGACTCATCAGGGACCTCCGCAAGTGGCAGTCACGGTCCTTCGGGGAAGTGTGTTTTCACTCCTCACAGGTACTGACGGGCCACGGCTGTTTCGCGGCCTACCTGCACAGGTTCGGAACCCAGAACGACGATTCATGCGAACAATGCGGTGTTCAACCGGACGATGCGGAACACGCGTTCTTCAGGTGCGACGCGTGGGAGAACTGGAGGCGAGGCGTCTGCGCCGAGATCGACGTCGACGAACTGACCCCGGACAACATCATGAACATCATGCTGTCATCCCCCCATAGCTGGAACCAGATCAGCAAGCTGATGGTAAGGATCATGGTCACAAGGGAGGCAGCAAAGAGGATCCGGCAGAGGCAACCACAACCACCACCGCAACACCAGCCAAATTAAAGAAGTTGTACAACCTAGTTAAGTTACATAATTGTAGGCCGAAGGCCAAATTTAGGGAGGTTAGAGGCCTCTTACCGTTTGTACACACATATATTCCCTGTAATTTCCATGTTTTTATTGTAACTTTCTTTTTTAGTCAATAAATGATGGCGGCACCTTCTGACCCTGAAGTATTTCCAGCGGAGAGTCCCGGGGTCAGTCGGATGAGTATTGCCAATAAAAAAAAAAAAAAAAAAAAAAAAAGGTTAGCGCTATGTAACCTAACTCTGCCGTTTTAGAAATTTTGATCTCAAATTACACCAGCCAGCTTAAATTTTATACCGAAAACTACTCTAAATGTCGCAGTTAAAAGCATTGTTAATGATTTAAAATTAAAACGAATATTCTTCATAATTTTCTGATCAATATCCAGAATTGTAAAATATGATTCACGTGAAATACTCTAATAATATACTAAAATAAATAAATAAATTAATAAATATATGATACGTACCGTCAAAATCTATAATAAACAATAATATTTTAATTAATTTTTAAATATGTACACATTATAATAATATACTATGTATAGGATGTATGTATTTAAATTTTCCCAGGAGACACTGTGTGTTTTTCTACACTTGATGTTACAGGTTAAGCGAACCGGGGACCCTTGAGTTGTAGCGTAGGGAAGTTGGCGCGCTTATCGTCCATAGTTCATTGAACTGCAATAGCCCCCACCTTTTCTTAATTGGTTTAGATGGACATAGTTCTCCAAGATCGGGGATTTAGTGATGGGCTAACTTATTGATATTTAAAAATGTCATGAAAATTTCAGAGTGATATTTTTAGTCATTTTATATAAAAAACTAAAGAAAATAATGATATTATTACTTCTTCTATTACTACAAGTACAGCTACCATTAGTATAAGTGTAAAAAATAAAAAAATATCGTCAGAAACTATATTTAGTTTTTATATTAAATAAACATGTATTTTATTTATTTAAAAAGCTTGTCTGTGTATTACTAAAAAGTACATATTAACTATCCAATCAATGAGTCAGTTCACATAGAAAAACAATTTTTTGTTTAAATAGTAAAATATTGCAACAAACATGAAAAATACTCACAAATTAGATCTATGAAAAATATATAAATAATATAGTAGCATTAATATAATCTTAATAAAATATAATATAAAATTTACTATGGTGATAAATATGGAACCCTTTTTTGTTTTCTCCACTTCAATATATGAATTGTCTTGTATTTGTATTAATTATAAACATAGATTATATTATTATTACAAGTATATTTGAAAGTATTTTTAAAAATTCCATTATTTTTATTTCAAGCATTTAAATGTTGACAGGTTTATGATTTTATTTTTTAATATTATTATGAAAACATTTAAATAACAGTGATTTAAGTTTGAAATTTAAACACGTGTAAAGATTCTGGAGTTTTTAAAGAATACAAGAACTTATAATTTTTGAGTAATACGTTCTTTAATTTTCTAAACACTAATATTATTTTATATAAAACAAAATTTATCGAGACAAATTGACGGATTAACTAATATTACAAAACAAACTTAAAATCTCGACCAGAATAAAATAATATATTTTAACAAAATAAAAAAAAACATACCAATCCTCTCTAAAAAATAAATAAAAGGTTATAATATGTAATTGATAAAAAAAATTCATATTTTAAACTTAAAATATTAACCCTTAACTACACGCGCTGGTGTACTTTGTACACCAATATTTTTGTTTATCTTGTTCTATTTTAGTTTTTATTTGTTTTCAGTTGTTCTCCTAATCTAACCTTTTCTTATTTAATATGTAATGATTATTAATCCATTTTAGTCGTCATTTGATGTTTGTAGCCGCACAAACAAGCTCCGTATAAAAGATTTTTGTATCGGTGAACGATATACACCACGCGAGTAATAATATAAGTAATTTTTACGTCTTATATTGACTGATAATTCCGTATTATTTTTCTAATATTTAATTATTATATAATCAGTATATTATTTAATCATATTATTATTATTATACTAGGTCAAAGCTTACGCCAAATGATGTGAATGACATATTAGATATGGAATCGTCGGAAGAAGAAGTGGGAGGTGATGAAGACGACAATGAAGTAAGAATAGTAAATAATAGTGATCATGACAGTAACTCGTGCTTGGAATACAGTTCATTTGAGGATTCCGATAGTGATGATGATAATATTGAGCTCGAATATTTTATTGGTAAAGATAAAACAACAAAATGGTCTAAGACACCATTGACAAGTAAATTCGCTAAAACTAAAAAAAAAAATATAATAAATATAACACCTGGTTCAAAATTTACAACTGAAGAAATTCAAAATGAAGTAGGGGCTTTCCACATAATATTTTTAGACAAAATGGTTGATGAAATTATTCATTACACCAATATGTATATTTCGACAGTTCAAAAAAACTATAAAAGAGATAGAGATGCCAAAATTATAACAAAAAATGAAATGATGGCATTTTTTGGTTTGTTGTTTTTGTCAGGAATAAAAAAAGGGAATCACACCAACTTTCTTGAACTTTGGGCTACAGATGGTACTGGAATTGAAGTTTTTCGGGCTTGTATGAGCTGTAACCGTTTTCTTTTTATTTTGAATTCAATAAGATTCGACGATAAAACTACTAGTAATTATAGAAGATCTGATGACAAACTAACTGCTGTGAGGTCAATGCTTGATCAATTTGTATATAATTGTAAAACAAGTTACTACCTTAGTGAATATTTGAACATTGACGAAATGTTAGTCCCATTTAGAGGTCGTTGTAGTTTTATTCAGTATATACCAAGTAAACCTGCAAAATATGGCTTGAAAATATTTGCACTGGTTGATGCAAAATCATTTTATACGGGGAATTTAGAAATTTATTGTGGGACGCAACCAGACGGGCCTTACAATATGTTTTCCAAGCCATTTGATATTGTCATGAGATTACTTGACAATGTAACAGGATCAAATCGTAACCTAACATGTGATAATTGGTATACTAGTTATCCCTTGGCTACTGAATTACTAAAAAAGCAAACAACTATTGTAGGCACATTGAGAAAAAATAGAAAGGAGATTCCAGTAGACTTTCAACCACATAAAAATAAAGCAATTAATTCTTCATTTTTTGGATTTCAAAAAGAAATAATGATAACATCATATATTCCTAAAAAAAATAAAGCTGTAATTCTATTATCAACTATGCATAATGATACGTCAGTAAATAGTGAGACAAAAAAACCTGAAGTTATACACTTTTACAATTCCATAAAAGGAGGCGTGGACACTGTCGACCAAATGTGTGGGAATTATTCAGTTTCTAGGAGAACACGCAGATGGCCTTTATCAATATTTTTTCAACTTTTAACATTGCAGGTATAAATGCAAATATTCTATATAATAATACACAAATAGAAAAAAAACATAAGAATAGGAGGTCATTTCTAAAATCACTTTCAATGAATTTGATGAAAAATCACTTGAGTGAAAGATCACAGATGGCAAATCTCCCTACTGACATAAAACATTTTATCAAAATATGAAACAAATGAAGTGGACGTTCAAGAACCTCCAACAAAAATTAAAAGTCGGTGTTATTTGTGTGGAAGAGCCAAAAATAGGGTGACAACAATAAAATGTTCTTCATGTCAGAAGTTTACATGTAAAGAGCACGTAAAAGCTGTTGTCAGATGTGAAAGATGTACAATAAGTCAGGATAGTGAGTAAGAATTAATTTAAGTTTGTAAAAATTATTTGCAATAAGATATTTTTACTTTTATCAATTATAATATAGTAATAACACATTTTTTTTTTATTCATTTTTTTTTTTATAACTAAATTTTAAACAATATTAAGTAGTACTTTGTTAAATTTATTAGTAAATCAATTCAAATATCCATACAATACGACATTGATTTCTGTGTAAAACAAATTGGTGTATAAAATACATCGCGCGTGCAATTACTGAAAACAAAATGGCGCGTGTAGCTAAGGGTTAATAAGTTATTTTGACCTTCTTGTGAAGTCAATAGTAGCGTTAAAACATGAAATACACACGATAATATTCAATACAAGTAACTTTGTTAAAATTGTATATGGTATGTATAAATAATATAAAAACTATACTTAAAATAAATATAAAATTAGTGGCCACAATTTAATTACGGCTTCCAAATATAAAATTATAACATTAAATGCGACGCATTTAATTTCTTTAATTTGTATGTTTCTTACAGTTAGATAAATCAAATGACAATAGTTATAATAAAAATTGATAAAATAAATTAAGAGAAATGTATCACCAATATTTTAAAAAATAAAAACATAAAAACAACATACGCTTTAATTCTTCTATATAAAATAAAAACATAAGATAGGAATGAGTATTTTGTTTTTATAATTAACATAATTAAAAAAATTAATTAGGGTAAGTCTTAAAAAACATATTAGAACAATATTATTGAAATTTAACTTACTGTAGTTCCCTTACAAGATTAGTTATAAAATAATTAAAATATAATTAATTATATTATTTAAAAAAATTTAAAAAAAATATTTTGGATCAGACAGGGTTCAAAACGTTGTGCTAAAAGAAATCACACTGAAATATCTATTAAAGATAGCTGATGTATTCATTCACTGTCTGGTGGAAGACTATTTCTTGGATGAATGATAAGAAGCAAATTGATCTAATTAATTATCATGTAACAAGTAAACAACTAGAAAAAGTTCTAAGACGTAGGATGGACAAGTTCCAGGCGAAAACAGAAAATTATCAAATAATGAATTTGGTGTACTGAAAAATAAATTAAATCTGTGGGATTTTCGCGATACGATAAGATACAATCCCATAGTGTGACTCAAATTGCCAATAAAACTTTGTGTGCAGTTAACCTAATTTATGTGGCAAACGCCACCCAATACGGTATCATGAAAGAATAATGAGGAGTCATTAAATTACAAAAATGAACAAACAAAATCTGAATTCTCCAAGACTACCCGTATCATAGGTGGTTAAACACGTGGAGTAAAGGCGATGAGTCGCTGGGTTCCATAATTTTTCATAAATCTCAAGTAAGGTAAAACCAATGTGAAACATATTTAACTACTTAGGTACATCTATGGCCCCAACCTTCGAAAGAACAGAGAGTTAACGACGTAGTTGCTGTAATTTAAACTAGATTCACGTAAAATTATACTAAAGATGGCATATTTAACCTTATTTAATTCTTGAGCTAGCATGATCTTTGACATGAATCACAATTTGGATATGTGGTCATAAACTTAAAATTTTGTTACCTAAGACATTGGCAAATAAAACCATAAAAATAACATTAAAAATAAAAATTGTAATTCCGGAAAATGAAACCGCTTATACTTTAAAATAATACAAAATATCTCGAAAAATAGCTAAGATTTAAGAAACAGATAACAATGTTACGTTGTTATGTTAACATAATTTAACAAATCGTGGAAAAAAAAAGTTACAATACTATAATTAACTCCTGTATGCGGCTTCTCAATGGAGTGCTAGTTTTCAGTTTGAAAACGAAATGGGTAGTCGTGAGTAAATACATAAATACGTGGACAAAAAAGTTATAACCAAGGATGAAGCTGAGATAGCATATGTCGATGACAGTAGAAAATGTAGTAACTAGGCAAGAAGGATCCGTGGCAGATCTGAAGACATCAACTATCAATAATTCAATATAAGAGTAAACCGTGAAAGCAGTAATTGGCTATTACGTAAATCAAGGTCGTAATGTTAAACGATACTCTATACATATATGGGCTACAGCTAACTTCTTTAACAAAACCATAACTCATAAGAGCTAATCAAATTATAAAACTCTTAAATAATTACCTGTGGTATCTACAAAAACAAATATTATATACAATTATTAATTAATGAAACAAATCTAGTACATTTATTTTTTTTTTTTAAGTGATTTTATTGTTTATAAAACTAAATCAATGTTTCAATATTCTGTTTTGGACTGTAACATATTACAATTTTATGAATGTAGTCAGAGTTATTTAATGACGAATATCTCCTGCATTTTCAAATCTTTTATACCTGTTTAACTATGGAAATATATCACCAAAAGCACTAAATAGGACTTGTAAACACAATTTTTTTTTAAATCATAACATGGTTAAAGTTCAATAAATATATAATAATTAGAAATGTTGATAATTAAATAACTTGAAATGTATACTAAAAACAAATACACACTATTTATATCTAATACTGTTTCTATAAAAAAAAAATATATAAATACATTTATTATTGTACAGTCAAACGTTTTTATTATATTTTAAATAATCATGTCATTTCATCTTTTCCTTCTTTTTTATTATTATATGATATGTTAATCAATTAGTCTTAAATCATATATGTATATATTTTAGTCATGATTTGTTTGTATTCTTAAGTAATAAATAGTTTATGGTATTCTATTTATAATAGCTATTATTCAGTATTAGTGAGAGTTGTAAATAGGCTTGGAGAATATTTGGCGGAAATATATTTTACAAGTTTAAATTTAATTATAACGGTTCTAATTCACAAATATGGTCTTGAACCAAACAGGAACATGATATTTAATATAGAAATGAACCCATTATACTATATTAGTCAGTTATTCAAAAAATAATTGAGTAACACAAAAAAGAATCACTGTTTGGTTATTTGGATAATGATAGATTTTTAATTTTATATTATCGATATGAAAGTTAATATTAATAATGTTGCAATTACAATAATTAAAATATACACTTACAAAAAAATAAGCAAGAAATGTTAAATTTTTGTCGATAAAATAGACAACAGATAAAAATTAAAAATAAACGTCAGAAACATTTCTCATTCGTGAAATTTGACGTGCTTGAATGTTTTTTGATACATACTGAACATTTTATGAGTTTGCATTACTAACACAATTTTTAACTTTTTTGAGTTCAATTCAGTACAATTTTTTATATTTCTGTTCAATATCTGAATTCAGATAAAACCCTTAAATTTCTGCTCAATTTTTCGAATTTCGGATAGTTTAATCATATCCAAAAACTATTGAGTTTAACCAAACATTACCATTGCTTAATTTAATACATTTTTGTTAATGTCAATAATTTTAAATTGTTTGATTACTGTAAATTGGTTTATTTGGTGTTAATAAAATTAAAAATCTATAACGTTTCATGGTAAAAGCATTTTCCATCAATCATTAACGATTAGGTACTGAGTAAGGAGGGGTATTTAATAATTTACGTAAAACGATATTTTGAAATGTTTGGATCTTATTTACATTGGTTTTTTTTGCATTTCCCCAAAGTTGAAGGCCGTAAGTCCACGAGGGTTTAAGTAGGGATTTATAAATAATTAGTTTAGTGTTGACATCTGTATGTTTATTTTTAATAATGAGGTTTTTTAGTAGGCGCAAACGTAGATTTAGGTTTGCTCTTTTGGACTTGATATGCTGGCCCCAGGTCAACCTTTTATCAAGGATAAGACCAAGATATTTAGTGTTTGGGGCACTTGGGATTTGAGTGCCATAAATATAGACATCATGGCAGGGTGCAAGTCTGAGGGTGAACGTGGTGTGGGTAGATTTGGATTGATTTATTTTAAAATGTCAAAGATTTAAAATAAATCTTAATACTATAATCTGTAAGCCGTTACACTTTATAATTATCTAATGGCTTATGTTTAATAAATAAAACTTAATTTAAAAATATTACAGAAAATACGTAAGTATATTCTCTAAAAAGTATAGATAAACAATTATTCACAATTATTAGTAAGTATATATATTTTTTTATCATATAATTTGTTATCGAAAACAAATTTTTGGTAAATACTATAATGATACAATTGTGCAATCAATATTTATATTCTTATATCCACTGCCAAACTTTTTGTTTGTTCATTAATGCATGTATACAATTATTTAGTTTAATATTTTTAAAATAAAATTATATATAACTAACTCTAAGCCAATATTTTAAATAATGTATTGTGACCTAACTTTAAATATAATATCTAAGATTGTGAGCGTTGTTAGAATCTACAATAAGTAATTTTTGATACCCCTAACTGAGTTTTTAAATTTAAACAATTTCAAAATAGAAATGCAACACTGCATTTGAGAACCCTTGTTTTATGCTATGATAGGAGGGCGTTTAAGGTAACGTTATTAATACGGTGTTTAAAAGGACAAGGCTTCTTCCTAGCTATCATAATTTTTCTCATTGTGGGAGGTTGTGGCACTACGAAGAAGTGAGAGATGCTATTTCGAACAACTTAAGCAACGCGTTTTTGACTGACAAGTCCGGTGCCAATGACTGCTGCTAAGGCAATTTAAGCAAAGTTAATGGTCGGTGGGCCCACCGATTCTAATATTTCAATGACAAAATTTAGTACAATTTTTCAGTGTACGAGATTCAAAATAGCGCCTTCACAATGCGTTCGACGTATTGGTAGATTTCGCGGTGACCAGAGCCACAGAATGTGTCCATGACTGAAATGATGGTACGCCAGTGAAGATTTACTTCGGAGGAGCAGTGACCATTTAAGAGTCATAGTTGTTTACGTATTCAGCTTAATACAGCTTTTACGATCGGATATTCGATAACATTTGATACAGTGGACTCTGAGTGACTCATGAGTCATGATCAAAAGTGAACTTACTTGTAGTAAGTACTTGTACCTAACCATTTATTAAAAACGGCGTGAGTAGACGGATATAGACGGCCTTTTAACACATGTTGGACACGTATCGTATGTACTGAACTTAAAAACAGATCAATCGTGGATTAATTGGCAAATGGTATTTAATTATCCCGGTCAGATACCGGTTGTAACGGCAGTGCTTATGGTGGGATGTAAGGGAGTCGAATGTTCGAGAAACCTACTACGCCGATAAACGCTGGTGAACAAACACGTTTAAAATCAAGTATTTCAAAGTCATTCCTTAGTATTAAAACTAATTTGGTGATATAAATTACTAAAAACTAAAGCAATGAATACATCCACGAAAAGCGATATCAAAAATTGCATTACATTTTTTTCAAATAATTACTTTTATATTCCACAGTAATGTCTTTATGTTTATCACCTGAAAATAATCATAATAGTGTAGTACAAAGCATTAGTTGATTTAAATGACCCAACGTAACTGCTCCATAATATTATTTTCAACCAGCATTTTGCATACTTATTAAATGTATATATAGGCTATTGATCTAGGTACTTAAAATGTATTTATTTATTTATATAAATACACGGCTTAAATAATAATAAATTACTATAAGAAACATAATTCGTATTTTGATTGTATTTTTATAAAGTGACTACGTGTAAAATACTACAGCTTTTTGAAGAATATCAATTTTATTAATGAAACATTACTAGTTGGTATTATAACTTATTACATGAGTGATGATTCATCACTGATGAATTTCGTTTAAGATTTTAGGGTGCGTGGACTTCTCTCTAACTCGAATTGGTAAAAAAAAATTCCAGTACATCGAAAATAGTTTTTTTAAACAACAAAAAATTTAATTTCATAATTTTATTTATTTATGTATTTACTAATAAATTGTAACGTCATGAATTTTTGCCTAATTTCTCATTGTATATTAATGAGGAAGAATTCCTCAAATTATATGAACCTATGCTGATATATTATGCGTGCGGTGTATTTTGGTAATATTATATAATCGGTCATGGCAATCATATAATGCCTCTCTCCTTCCATCTAGACACAATATTATAGTGTCCGGTTTACGATGTTTACGCGGTTGATCGCAGTCACCGCCGCCGCGAACTCACCTCAACAATAACGACTTCACAAATATTGTAAGAAGTTGAAGACCCACACTGTAATCCCTCTATGACAATTAAACTTCACGATAACGAATGCCGAAGGTCCAATGGCTCCATCGCATTTTTCACACTTTAAAAAAATGCTTTTTCTCACGACTACTGACTGAGAACGTTCACCATTCGAAGTCATCTCCAAGTCGTCTCAAGCATCACATCAGCTCAACACTGTACGTGATCAAACCATTCTTTGCAACCATACTTCAAGATCGTACTTGCTGCCTATATGATGGCCTAAGTATTTGACCATGGGCCCTCGGCAGGCGAGAAGCTGACAATCAATCCAACCAATCTCAAAACATCGTTGTCATCGTAATGCTTAAAAACTCCCCTATATCCCCTAAGTATATAGGTTTACTGTCTGATTGTATTGGTAAACGGCTATCCGTCTTTCCTATAATATTTCGAATAATTTTTATGATATTATAATCGTTATTATTATTATAATCATTATTTATCTGAGACCATTTACCTATTACTATTTAAGTGAAATATGTAAATTTATCATGACCAATACATTGTGCTTAAAACTTATTACCTATTATTTTATTATATTTACATTTTTATTATTAAAAAGCCCATATATTCTACCGACCTACTACCTTTAGTGGCATCAAGTTGTTCAGCTTATGGGTCATATTATTGTTGCGTCCGTTATGTCAACGTCGATACATATATCAACGTAGAAATAGAAATACTAATGTTTGCAAGTTAAAAGATTAAGTCTTTATTTAATACAATTAACTCGTACAAGAATACAATTTTATAAGCACAAGATGGTGTGAGTGGTGTTACGACCTGCCTCTGAAATACTGATAGACGAGACCGTGAGTGGTGTTACGACCTGCCTCTGAGCGTCTCGAATATCCCTAACCGTCTGCAGAGCTCTTGCCCTGGTCTCCCTTATATATGGTTAACCGTCAAGAGTGGTGACTGGGGAGGTGGTGACTTCCAATGACCCTAAGGAGCTCACTAAATTAAATGTATTATTCAGTTGGGTGCCTTTCCTGCGATTTCATCGGTTCTACGAATTACACGACGTGTGATCAAGTCTTAATTGTCAAATTAATTCGTACAATGTTAACACTGTTGTTTACTCATCATTTCTGAGAAGTCCAAGACGTGTGACCATGTCTTATTCATTTTATTTAATATCACGATGTGCAGGTGTTCACCCTATCCGTTGGTGCTACACTGTTTGAATATATTATCCCATCGGCATACACCTCACCTCTCCGTATAATAAATACGTGTAAAATAACACGGTACGTAACACCTCCCTTCCAAAAAAAAGATTTATGTTTTGTAAGAAACAGAAATCTTAAAAATTTGCGTATTATCTTAATTTTTAAGTGTTAGTGGTTTCACATTTTTTCCTTTTCTTTTGTTACATTTTCTCTTAATATTAGTATTAGTAATTATGATAAAATATTATTTGCTACCTTTTAGCAATTATAATAAAAGAAATTTCTTAATAACTAACACGATTTTAATCAATCGTGTTTACACCTATTTCATACATGGAAGTTAAATTTTCTTATTCCTGAAAATACAATTTTGTTAATAATATTAATAATACATTATTAAAACAGTTTTTTATAACTGTCCATGATTTCATTTAATCATGTTTACATTTTTTTTTTTTTTTTTTTCCTGTAATAAAGTAGTTATACATAACTGAAATTAATAGTACACAAATTATATACCTTCTCTGGTCATAGTGTTATTACAGAACTTTACTTTAAATTAAATTATTATATAACTAAACTATTTATAAAATTTTTTATTTAGGTTGCTCACAATTATGCACATTCTTTTTTAAAAACCCCCTTCACTCATCCCTGGGTATTGGTGTAATTGCATAATTGAATATTGCCCTATTAACTATTATTTGCATAATTTAATAAGTCGGATGCCTCCGGTACTATATCTATTAATTCTGCTAAATACTGACAGTGTCCAGTTTCAGATCCGAAATCCTCCATTACTTTTTGTAAATTAAATATAGCTCGCAATATGTATTGATTATCAAAAGGTTCAAAAAATTTTCCATTTGCGTCCAAGACATGCCTAATGAGACAAGTAGGCAATGTTTCTCCCCCCGGTTCCCGGATATAGGTATGGCCTCCTTGCTCTATGGCTTCCTTGAGGTTCATCAAGAACTCGACGCTTTTCGTTGAATTTCTAAAATGTTACAAGTATTTAATTATGATAATTTTCCTAGTTTAATTTGCAGATTTTATATAATTGTATAGGTCCTAACTTTTTAATAATATAATTAAAAATACATTTTGTTATGATCACGTCCGCTACCGGATCGTGACTGTGTGTAATATTGTGATTGGTCTCACATACTAAATCATGTGTCTCCATTAAATTTAACATTCGACCGTTTTTTTCCTGATATCCTATCCTTTCTGTATATAAGAGTTTGTTTATATTACTTGTGTTATCTATTAACTTAAGATTAAAAAAATTATCATTATCATCACTATATGCTGTTATATTTAAAAGTTTCTTTATCCTTAACCTTAACCTTTCTATTATCTGTTTGTCCGTTGTTCCGTTCCAGTATACAAGTATGGGTGCTCTATGGTCTGCATGCAAGTATTGGTTTAGATAAGTAGTCGACAGAGTTGTTTCCCCCTCAAGGTTTATACTGGCTTCCAGTTGCCCCAATAATGGTAGTAACAACTCTGGCTTATTTCTAAATATCCGCCCAACACTTTGCATCACCTGCTTGACCTCCCTTTGTTTTAACATTTTTAACTTGTTATCAGTGGTTAAGATAATCGGTTTTCCTTCTAATTTTATCGGCCTATACTTGTTCAAACTGTTTGAAATCGCCCCTGATACGAGTAGTAGGTTTTTCCGTTCTATCATAGTGAATTCAAAATCCACTATGATAAATTTAATCTGGTCACTGTAAAATATAATTAATTTATTACCTATAGTTATTAATATATACCTTATACTATTTTTTTTTATCCTAATTTATTCCTCGGCGGCCGCTGCTGCCTGTATTACTTCATCCATTAATATTGCTAGTTGTGAACAAGTTGGTTCACGCACCTCACGCACTATTGCTATTAATTCTAATGTCTTCTTAATTATTTCTTTTACTCTATTTAATTCAAGCGGTGTATATGGGTTTACTAAATGTTCGTTTGCTATTGTCATGTGGTGAGTTAGACATGTTGGCTCGTCGCCGGTTAGCACGCGTCTGTATACGTGATCGTTGTGTATGAGTGAGTATTGTACCATCATTAAGTATTGTAATCGTCTTGGTAGGTTTCGTATTGACATTGTTTTGTAAGTTATGTGTTCCCAGTTAAATGTATATAATTTTTTTTTAAATTAATAATAATTTTCTTGCTTTTACTAATTGTTATCTGTAACATGATAAGATACGAGAATCCTTTTATATTAGGTTTTTTTTTTTTTTTTTTTAGTTATTTTTAAATTTATTCGTATTTTGTTATTGTCATTGTAATGGTATGGCGGCATCGTCCGTGCGTCTAATATTTTGTAATGAAATTACCTGTCGTCTAACGTTATTTGTTGAATATGTACCTGCTAGTGTACGTTTACATTTTATCATTATTATTCCTGCCACTGTTATAATCATTAGGTAAATTATGTATGTATGTAAGTTAGTTGTGTCTTTAGTCGTTTGTTTATCTTTTTCTTCTAGTATAAGTTGTTCAATTTCGTCAATTGATTTAGAATATTGACTTAAGTCAGTTAGTTTAATTACAGAGTTAGTGTGTGTTATAACATTACTAATTTTTCGTTTTATTGTCGTAGGAATAGTTAAGTTTGATTGTATACCTATGTTTGAAACTAAATCTTTAAAATGGGTCGAATTCAAATGTCTACTTGGTGTTAATACCATTTGAGGAGTGTACCCCCTACAGTCTTCGTCAATGGTTAATATTCCTATCCCAGATAATTGTATGTTAATTGCTTGGTCTCTATTCCCGCAAGAAATGGCTATGTTATCAGTTGATTTTATTGTATATATCCATGCGTTCTTATATTTTAATCGATGATAAATACTTCGCGTAATGTCAAGATAATGTATGGGACAAGTGGTTGGAATGCTAGATGGTCTTATGAATAACTCTACTTCGCATGGTAATTCGCTTGCTCCTAATCGTAATGATTGAGTTTCCAGACATAAAGTTCCTATTTTTATTTGTTTACATGTGTTAAGGTGATTTAAAGATAATGTTAAATAATACTCATGAGTTTTTGAAATAGCTATGTAACTATATTCTGGTATTATATGCATGTAATGGTCGTTTTTAACTACTGGTAATGGTATTACGTGGTATAAGGTAAGTTCTATGGTATTTATTAGTGGTATTATTATTTCAAAAATTAGCGTTTCGTTTTTATATATTATATTTAATTTTGACATTTTACTTAATTCGTATAATGATACTTGATTTACATCGAATGGTAAACTTTGTTCCTTTGGAATGGTTAATGAAATATCTTTTAACTGTCGTCGTAATTCCATGACTGACAATACACTTGAATGTATTATACCCCCTTGGGCTGCTATAATTACTTCACATATGGTATCAGTTTCGAAACTTATTTGTTGGAAAAGTAAATTTATAATATTGAACTGTTCATTTATATTATTTCTAGCTTCTACTATATCTATATCTATTACTGTTTGATTTACGGTTGATTCTAATCTATCACATAATACTCCTAATCTGTTAATTTGCATTTCCATTTTTGTAGCTTCCTTGAATGTATTCGCGGTTGCTTTTAGTATGCTAGTCTGTTTATCGGCAATTTTTAATAAGTTTTGTTGACTATTTTGTAATCTTTCTATTTGTTGGTCATATTTTTCTGCGTCAGTATCATCTAATGTACCGAATAAGGTTTTCTGTACTCTACCTATTATATTAATTAAACCCCTCCTTACCCGGGTAATTGTATCTGTTTCATCTATTGATTGTAACATAAAAAATCGTTTCCTCGAGACTTCCTGCTCGAGTCCATTAGCTACTAACTTAAAATAATCACAATTTGCTTTAAACATGCCCTCATATACTATCGTTAAGTCGTTACATATTTCTAATGTTCTGTTATAAAATTTCATAGCGTTAGTTGTTCGTTCGTTAAAGTTGTTAAGTTTTACATATATTAATAGTTTCCAGTCAGAGTTAGTTAGTCGTAGTGATCCTTGGTTTTCAAAGTACATTCCGTTTTCCTGAGTAAGTCTGGTAATTTGGTATGGCTTTGGTTGAGCCCATGCCGCTTGAAATGTGACATATATTGTTATAACCCTAAAATTTTAATTTATATTTTCTTATTACCTACATTAACTTCATACTATTTTCTTACTTAATTACTTATCATTAATAAATTTTTTCTCTTTTTTTTTTTTTATACTTAAAATATCCTTATCTCCTTACTCTCATTAACTTATTTATTTTACTTAATACTTTCATGATAGATTTTCACATTATTCTTATGTACGGTAACATGCCTTCTACCTCTTATTATTACTATATTTTCTTTATCTAATACATCTGTCACTTCGAATGGACCTATCCATAACGGATTTAACTTATTTTTCTGTGTCTTATCTCTTAATAATACTTTATCTTTCACGTGTACATCAATCGGGTTTTCGTTATTATCATAGTTTTGTTTAGATTTAATTTTATTTTTAATTAATGTTTCTTTAGCTATTTTATGTGCTTCCTGCATCTTTTGTTTTAAATCGTAATAATAATTATCATAGTTATATCTTGGTTCAGGCTCGTGAGATAGTTTAATTGGTATTTCTAATGGTTTCCCGTATAATAGTGAATAAGGCTGATATCCTGTCGATGTATGTTCGGTGGAGTTATAAACGAAAAATGCATAAGGTAAATATTCATCCCAATTGTTTAACTTTTTATCTACATAATGTCTTAAATATTCAGTTAGTGTTCTGTGCGATCTTTCTAAACTACCGTTCGTTTGTGGGTGGAATGGACTAGTATTTATTTTATTAATTTGTAATAATTTACATACTTCCGTAAATATTTTACTTAAGAAATCGGTACCTTGGTCGGTTAATATTGTGGTGGGTATGCCATGCATACATACGAAATGTGTTACGAATGCTTCTGCGACTGTGTTAGCTTGGTGATTTGGTAAAGGTATCCCCATAGAATATTTTGTTAAATCGTCCTGTAAAGTTAATATATATGTGTTCCCCGATAATGTAGTGACCAATGGGCCAACTATGTCTAAAAATATTTTTTCGAATGGTTCTGAACTTGTAGATGTGATAAGCATGGGTTGTTTTATTTTTTTATTCGTGACTTTACCCTTTTGACAAGATTCACAATTTTTTACATATTTTATTACGTCTTCTTTTAGACCCTTCCAGTTGAATTGTGTTTTTATCTTTTTTATTGTCCTGTGTATACCTGCATGTCCCCCAATCACTGAATCGTGACATTGGTTGAATATAATTAATTTTTCCTCCTCACTGAACTCAAATTTTGAACATATGATTATCTCTATATCTGTATTCCGAAATACATATCGGATCATGGCACGCACCTGCGCCCATTCGAGCCTGTCCTTAATACCTAATTTATTCATTGCTAATTTATTCAATGACAGTTCTTCACAGAATGTTTTCAGATTTAATAGCGACAAATACAAGTTTTCGTACGTGGTCTTTTGATTATTTTTATTTTTTGTTGTTAAGAAAATTATATTTCTATTGTTATATTTTAAGTAATTCACGGCCCCTACATGTTTACTGGGTGTTAATATCTGATTCCCACCGAATTTCTGTTTTAACTCGTAATTTATTCCTGACATGAAGTTATAATTTTTAGCTATTTCTGACACTATGTGATACTCGTCGGGTGCTTCTATTAATTTACCGTTTACCTCTCGTACGTTTTTATTTGTTATTACCTGTGATTTTAATTTATTTAAAAATACCGGATAGCTTTCCTTTTTTATTTCGTCTACAGTGTACATTCTAGATAGCGCGTCTACATTTGCATTTTGAACTCCCGGTTTATATTTTATTTCATAATCATATTCTTCTAATAGTATTCGCCATCGAGCGAGTTTAGACAATGGATCTTTTAAATTAAATAACCACGATAACGCACGGTGATCGCTTAATATGACAAATTTCCTACCGTATAAATATGGTCTAAATATTTTTACTGCAAATATTATTGCTAAACATTCGAGTTCTGTTGTACTATAGTTATGTTCGCTCTTATTCAAAGTTCTAGATGCATATGCAATAGGTAGATCTGATGGTATTTCCCCTTGTGACAATATAGCGCCTAAAGCTTTTCCGCTCGCGTCTGTAGTAACTATAAATGGTTTTGTGAAATCTGGATATTGTAATATCGGTTCGGAACAAAGTATTGTTTTTAAATTATCAAATGCTTCCTGACATTTGGTTTCCCAATTAAATAGTACACCCTTTTTTAATAAATTCGTTATTGGTTTTGCTATAAGACTGTAAGATTTTATAAATTTTCTGTAATAACCCGAAAGTCCTAAAAATGATTTTATTTCTTTTACGTTTGTAGGTACCGGAAATTCTAATACTGACTTAATTTTATTTGGATCTGGTTTTATTCCATTTTCACTAATTATATGTCCTAAATATAAACATTCCTGTTTTAAAAATTCGCATTTATCTGGTTGTATTTTTAAATTATGTTTTTGTAGTCGTTCGAATACGTCGCGTAATTTATTATTATGATCGCTTAAATTTTTCCCGTATATAATTATATCGTCTAAATATACCAAACATTTAATTCCTATTATACCTGCCATTACACTATTCATTAACCTTTGAAACGTGGATGGTGATGTTTTAAGACCCATAGCCATTTTTGTAAAATGCCAATGTCCTTGGTTCGTTGAAAATGCAGTTAACTCTTTGCTAGACTCGTCGAGTTTTATTTGATAGAACCCGGATGCAAGATCTAGTATGCTAAATAAATTACATTGTCCTAGTTGATCTAATATTTCGGTTATGTTAGGTAAAGGGTGATATTCATTTATTGTTACTTTATTTAATGCCCTAAAATCTACAACTATTCTAAATTTTTCCTCTTGACTCGCGTCAAGTTTCTTTTTGACTAGTAATAATGGTGCATTCCAAGGTGAAAAGGATGGTTCAATGATATCGTCATTTTCCATTTGTTTTATTTGTTTATTTATTTCCTCCATTTGTGAATGTGGTAATCTATACGGTCTCTTATATATAGGTGGTTGATTAGCTGGTAAATTAATTTTATGTGTTATAGTGTCCGTATGGGTTAGTATATCCCCTTTTAAATGAAAAATGTCTTGGTACTGTTCGCATAACTCTAATATGGATTGTCTTTGTTCAATGTCCATGTGCCCACTTCTAATTAATTTTTTTATTTTATTTATGCGATTTATTTTATTATTCTGATCGGTTTTTGGTTGCGTGCCATATTCGAACTCATAATCGTATCTAATTTTATTTAAATCGTTCATTGTTATATTCCGTGGTTCCTCATTTATATTTAACATGCTTATTAATATTTCCCCGTTGTGTACAGTGTTTATTATATTCCCACAAAAGACTCCTACTACTATTTCTTGCTTATGAATTAAAATGTCCTTATTCTCTACGTCCGTTGCAGCTATAGGTATAGATACAATGGTTTCTGTTCTAGGTTTTAAAACTATATTTTTATCATTAACGTTTATTTCTAATGTCTTATTTGCTAAATTTATTATCGAATTATTTTCCGTTAGGAAACTATTACCTATTATACCGTTTCTCTTTATTGGAAAATTCTTACTAACTAAATTAAACTCTGTATATACGCTTTGCCCATGAAATATTAATGGTATTGTCACTTTCCCTAAAGTTTGTATTATTTGGTCATTAATTCCCTTAAGATATACTTTTTGTGTTTCGTCTATTGTTAATCCGTCGCATATAATATCATTTTTTATTACGTTCACTTCACTACCTGTATCGATAAGAAATTCTAACTCTTTAATTTTACAAGCAGGTGAAATGCATTTTACATGGTTAATACTATTTATTGTTGTGAGTACGGTTGGAAGGCAATCTCTGATGGATCCACGGTTATCGTTTGTATCGCACGCGCCCCGTGTGTCGCGTGAGAGTTCTGCCCGTTTCCCGAATTATTACGACGTTCGTCGTTTTGTTTTTTATAACATACCGCGATTGTATGCCCCGTCTTATTACAATACGTGCAGGTGTCGCGTGAATTTTGATTAGTGTTACCGCCCGGTGGTCGCGTATACGTTTGATTATTCATCCTACATTGTGACGAAAAATGTCCTTCGCGATTACACGTAAAACAACGCCTAACATTAAAATTATTGTTCCTAGAATTTTGTACTTGATTATTATTCCTACCTCGGAAACTGTTATTGTTACGATACGATGTGTTTTGATTATTATTTTGACCACGGTTATTGTTATAATTATTGTTATATTTATTCGGTTGCTTATTATATTCGTTATGGTTTGCTCTAAAAATCTCTTGTACATTATTATATGTTCGTATGTTTTTATCGGCTACTAATGCTACTTGCATTGCTTGGTCAAGAGAATTTGGATTTTTAGTTTTCACCTCAAATTTTATTTCGTTGGGTAACCCGTTAATGTAACTAACCATAGCTTGTTCTTTAATATTTTCACGTAATACTATTGCTTCGGACGACGGTTTACCTACGGCTACTGCGTCGCATAATTTTTGGAATATTTCTTCTACGCGGTTATTATATGCCTGAATCGTTTCATCGTTTTTAAATTTTATTATGTTAAGTTCAATTTGTAAGTTCGCGGCACCATAAGGTGATTCGAATGCGTCTAATAATAATTTTTTAATGTCGTTCCATTCTTTAATTTCCTTATATCTAGTAACATTGAAAGCTCTACCAGTTAATTTAGTCGCGGTTATCATTTTTAATAGTAACGGTAATTGGTCGGGATCTACTGAATCAATTATAGTTTCGCATGCATTTATGAACGGATACATTTCGGTTTGTCCTGAATATTGGGGAATCATATGTAAAGCGTCAATGACTTTTAATGTGGGGACTTTAGATGTTGCCATTTTCTTAGTTTTTACTGTTCGCTTAGCTGGTATATACTCGGTATGAATAATATTTTTATTACTTCTTAATCCTATCTTACATGTACTTGTAGTAGGGTTATTTTCAAATTCGTCTAAATTAATTAATCTTAAACTTTTATTTAATATATCGTCTACTGGTTTATTAATTTTATTTAATTCTAATTTATCCTCTTCGATTAACCTATTTACTTCTTCGTCATTAATTAATTCACTATTACTATCACTTAAATTAATATCTAATATACTATCGTTTTCTAAAATATCAATTATCCTATCTAACGTTTCTTTAGCGAGTACCTCGAACTCGTCAACAATAACTTCGGCGTTCTCTCCCTGGGAACCCGTATTCATTAATTTAAATATTTATTTCTCATCAAAATAAAATCTCAATATACTCTTCAAAAAAAAATATAATCTTCAAAATTCTCAATACAAAAATACTTTTCACTTCAGTATAATTCAAAATCCTCTATAAAACACAAAAATACTTTTACTTCAGTATAATTCTCAATAAAACACAAAAATACTCTTTAATTCAGTATAATTCAAAAAATCTCAATATAATTCACAAAATAATCTCATAATCTCAATATAATCTTCATTTAATATAATCTCAAAAACTCTCAATATAAAACACAAAATACTCTTTTTCTTCAATAAATTCTCAATATAATTCTCAAAATAATCTCATAATCTCAATATAATCTCAAAAAACTCTCAATATAACTCTTTATTTAACTCCCAAAAATAATAAAAAAAAATGAAATAATAAAAAAAATAAAATAATAAAATAAAAATGGAAAAAAGACCTTCCTAATTACGATGGACAAAATGACCAAAGGAGACGGTTATATAATTTATGCTTACAAAATCGCTGTATTCATTCCGTAGCTTGATTTTCTCGCCGTTGTTTTGAACTGCAACAATGTGTTCGATTTCCCCAGAGTTGTTGAAAAGACGTCTCGATCCAACGATGGTTCACGTGAGTGAAGTTGCCTCTGTTGATAGAAGTTGACGGTACCAAAAATATGTTTAGAAATATTTTAAGTTGTCTTCTTCTTGGAAATCAATCCTACCGACTGCGCCAATTTTTCTGTTGCGTCCGTTATGTCAACGTCGATACATATATCAACGTAGAAATAGAAATACTAATGTTTGCAAGTTAAAAGATTAAGTCTTTATTTAATACAATTAACTCGTACAAGAATACAATTTTATAAGCACAAGATGGTGTGAGTGGTGTTACGACCTGCCTCTGAAATACTGATAGACGAGACCGTGAGTGGTGTTACGACCTGCCTCTGAGCGTCTCGAATATCCCTAACCGTCTGCAGAGCTCTTGCCCTGGTCTCCCTTATATATGGTTAACCGTCAAGAGTGGTCACTGAGGGCGACTCGATGACCTCAGTAGAGCCTCAACAATGTATTATTCAGTCGGGTGCTCTTCCTGTGATCATCGGTTCTGGCACTACAAGACGTGACCATGTCTTAATCATATATTGAATATCACGATGTGCAGGTGTCACCATCCGTTGGTGCTACACTGAATATATTATCCCATCGGCATATTACATCACCTCTCCATATAATATATATATAAAATAACACGGCAAGGTAACAATACCATTCTTAATCGAATATTAAAGCCGTGTCTGAAAAGCGCCAGGTCAACCAACGCATTTACCTACGAGGCACACTGCTTGAAGTTATAGTCAGGTATTTATAATGGAGCAATACGTGTCCGAACAAGTAACAG